CATTATGAATCTCCAAAAGAGCATGGTGAAAAGCGTATGCGATGTTCCCTAAACTCATTTGTTCTTGGAATTCTTTTTTCCCTTACATGAGCGTATTCAAGGCCTAATGTTTTACAGAACCCATTTTGGGAAGCATTACATCATTTGATTACAATATTCTTTTTAGCTTTGTTCTCTGTGATATTTAATTATGAACAATGTTTATCACACAATGATTTTGAATCAAGTGGCATCAACTCAGCGGTTAATAGACTGCAAGAGTTAAAGGAGGATGCTTAAGAGATCAGCGCTGGGATGTTTTTGAGAGCTAATAGTTTCATGAATGCCTAAATGTCAGTTTGTTTTTCTCTATACTTGGTTCCCCAGCCCAGCCCAGATGGGCCCTAAATCTCAAGGGGAGCTAGGCTGGGCTAAAGCCAAAATCTTGCCTACATTTTAATTGTCAACACTCAATCAGATAACAATCATAATGACGACAACAATGACAATAAGATCAAATTTATATGGATCGCATCTGTGCCAGGCACTATCCTAAGCACTCTCCGTGGATTATCTCACTGGATCATCACAAGGACCCTATGATGTAGGCACTATTATGACAACAACTTTACAGATAAGAAAACTGAGGCTCAGGGTGATGAGTAGCTTGCACACAGGTAATCGGAAGTGGCAGAGTCAGGATTTGAATCTGGGCCCTCTGACACCAGAGTTCGTGCTCTTCAACCTCTCTGCTGTGTATCCTACCAGCTAACCAAAAGGGCGGGTCAGTCTGAAAAAAGAGTTTCGTTTGTCTTAATTACACAGCAATTGTAGGATGCTGCAAAGAGTTTTAGTCCAGGATTTGCCTCCCTAGAGTCTGCATTATCCCAGTCACTCTTGCCCTCTCCCTCTCGCCTGACAGGTATGCACCACTTATTCTCCTGGGGGAGTCCTTCTGTATCCTTTTTCTCCCAGTTTTGTGGCCACCACACACACACACACACACATTTGAAAACTTCTTCCTGGTTTCACTGTCCCTAGGTTTTGTCTTAAAAACCAGGACACGTATCCTCACTAGGGAGATCTTTCCAGATCCATGCTCTGCATCACACACTGCTCTGCTCATTTTAACAACCTTCACGGTCCCCTGCTCAAAGGAAAATTCCCAGTCCCTGGGCGGGGCATTCCGACTGAGCCCTTGACTTTCCCATTGTATCTCCCATAATTTCCCCTTCTTGGATCCTCTGCTGTAGGGAGATGCTTCCTTGCTGCCCAAATCAGCGAAGCCATTCCTGCCTCCGTGCCTTTGCTTATTCTTGTTCTCCAGGCTGTGTTGTTGCTTCTCTGAGCCCCTTTCTGCCCTTGGAATCCCCCTGACCTCTAGGATGCTGTTTCAGCTGATCCCAGCCCATAGTGACCCTCCAGTCCTCTGAAACCCCCGGGAGAACCTACTATCCGTGACTCTGGGTCATCCATCTAACATCTTCCGCATCAGTCTTGCTTGCTGTAAAATGGGTGTCATAGTCCGTGCCTCACAGGATCTGGTCCAGGTTAAAAGACATAAAGCACATGATGAACTTCGCATAGTACCTGGCCCAAAGCCACAAGGCCAGTATTCAATAAATGGGAGATAATATTGTTAATAATTAAGATGATCATTTTTATGACTGCGTGATGCTTTGTGTTGCTTTACTCTGACTCTCTCATGAGGGGTAGCCCTCTTAAGAATGGGGATCAGGTCCTGTCATATCTATTACAATGCGTTAAGCACCAAAGATCCTGGGGAATGTTCGTTGAGGATGCGCAAACAAACTCGAACCATCACTCAGAAGCCTGATGTTGATCTCAGCTCTGTGGGCAACTCGGTGTGTGACCTTGACTTGTCTTCTTGGAGTCCCAGTCCAAGGGGGACTGCATGTCATCCCTAACATTCTCTTTGAAACTGGCAAGCCCTGATATTGATTCTCTGTGATAATTTGGGCACATTCTTTAATCCTCTTAGTCTTCGGTTTTTTTGTCTGTGAAATGGGGAGAATAATCTCATCCACTGTTGGCTCTGAGGATAAGTGAGGGATTGCTTATAAAATGCTCACTTAGTCCTCAGTTCATAGTTATGCTTCTGGTTGTTTCATTATCGCTATTTCGTTGATAACACTAGGAGCGTTAATGTTGTTGAATGTAGTAGTTTTCTGGGGCTGCCAAAAAAGTACTACAAATTGGGTGTCTTAAACAACAGAAATTTGTTGTCTCACAGTTGCGAAGGCTAGAGACCCACAATCAAGGTGTCAGCAGGGTCGATGCCTCCTAATCTGTTCCAGGCCTCTCTCCTTGCTTCTGGGAGCCTCCGGGCTTCCTTGGCTCGTGGATGGCCCCTCCTGTGTCTGCACATCATCTCGCCTCCGAGTGTCCGTCTCTGTCTCCAAATTCCCCCTTTTTATAAGGGCACCGGTCTCATTGAATTAAAGCCCGCCTTAGTGACCTCATCTTAACTCTCCTACCTCCATAAGGACCATATTTCCTAATAAGGTCACGTTCTGAGGTATTGGGGCTTAGGACTTCAACGTACCTTCTTAGCGGGGGTGGAAGGTCACGATTCAGCCCATAACTTTGAAAATGATTAACAGTTATACTCTCTAGAAAATCCTTTGCTGAGAAAATAACTTGGCCTTTCTGAAAGAGGAAAAAAACCCAACACTTGGCGGTGAATCCTTCTTATTCCACTGCACTTGCCTTTCACAACAGTGCATTTAGCTGGATCAGGTGAGCGCGGGCAGTTTTGACGAAGATGTGCTGCTTTCCGTAGAGCAAGTCCCAGGACCTTTGCCCTGAGTGGTATTTCCCACATGTGCTTTTGGAATTGCAAATCTGTCATTTCTGGTTCATGACATTTTTGCAGAGCCCCCAGGATGGAAATAACACACCAGATCTCAGGCAGTTGGCATTCTTTCTTTGTTTTTTATAGCCCTCTGCAAAACTCTCATGCTGTTTACGTGTGATTTATATTCCTCCTGTGGTTTCTAAATGGATATAATAAAAACAGATTTAGAATATTAATCTAACATGGTTCAGGCCAGCCTGGTCTAGTAGAAATTTATTTCCTGGGCATGGTGAAAAATCTGGAAGGATAAAGTGAGAATCAGGTCTGAGTAAATATTTTTTGCTGCCTCTTAAGGTATCGTCTCTCAAAGTGCGGTCCACTGGATTCCTTGCGGTGTCTGTGAAACATGCAGATTTCTAGGCCCCACCCCCACTCTGCAGGCTCAGAGTCTTTGGAGGAGGGGTCCTGGGATTTGCATTTCTTATGAGCCCCCCCTGCCCCAAGTGGTTCTGGCCCACCCTGTCTTTGAGAACCACTGATTTCTGGGATTCCCCAAAAGAAATGCGTTGTGTTGTTTGAGTCAAACGAGTTCCAGAGCTGGAGCCTGTCCGGGTCTGAGGGTGAGGAGAGCCAGGCAGGCAGGTGTGGGGCGGAGGGCCAGGGATGCGCTGTGGGCAGGCACAGGACTCCAGCTGCTGTGCAGAGAGCATGGTGTTCAGTCCATTGTGAAGTGACATCTGCTGAGCTTGGTGAAAGGACAGTGTGGATTTCAAGTGCGACAGGGAGGGTCGTAAGTGTTGATGGTGTGTGTACTTATCAGCAGGTGGGTTGAGCTGGGGAGTGGGCTTTTGGCAGCCTCAATAAGAGATCTGAGCATCCATCTGTGTCCAAGGGTCTGGCAGTGGGGGAGAGTTGGAGTGGGAGGGGTAAGGGCCATGGGAGGAGTCTGGCCACTTGGGGCGCTGTATGAGAACTCAGATTTCTGAGCTTGAACCAGCCCTTCTGCAAGCTCTGGGGATCTGCGTTTCTAAAGCTCCTCAGGGGATCGAAAGTGACAGTCTCTCAGAACAGCACTTGCGAAGCACCGTCGGGGGAGGCCGTGGATAAAACTGACTTTGGGATCACTGGACCTGGCTTTGAGTCCTAGCTATGTGACCTTGATCTAACCCCATCTGAACCACAGTTTCTTCAACTGTAAGATGAAGAGACAAATACTTTTTTCTTCTTCTTTTGATTGTGGCGACGGTTAGGGATAAGGGATGGGACACACAGCACAGTTTCTGGCACACAGTAGGCATCGTTAAATGGTGGCTCCAGACCTGTGAGAACTGAGATTCTAGAAGGGTAATTAGGGCAGATATGCCAGTCTGTTGGGCATAGGAATCAGCAGGTGGACACAGTGATTGGAATTTGGGTATGGCGTAGGGTCTTAGATCTGGCAATACTGGGTCCTGATTTCCAGAATCGGAACTAGGGAAAAAAGAGCAACAGTAACATCCAGGCTTAAATAGACGTGCAGGTCCAGCACTGTTCTAAGCACTTTGCCCACAACCTTATGAGTTAAGTGCTATTCTTATTGCCATTTTACAGATGAGAAAATGGAGGCTTAGAAAGATGTGTGAATGGTCACACAGACATTATGTGGCAGAAGGAAGTTTAGACCTAAGCTCTCTGGCTCTGGGTCTTCAGCACCTGTTCTTGCCTATTTAAGCGAAGTACAAGGTCAGGGTGGCCCTTGAACCACAATCCTGAGTCTCAAAAGTAAGCTGGGAAAAATGGTCCTGGATATTTTTTTGCTACACATTTCTGGATGTAAAATTGTACATAACAAAGTTAGAAAGGCTGGCATTTTCTTAATAGAAGCTGAGCTGTAATAAACCTGCATTGTTGCCAAAGGCTTGATAGATTCTAACAGAAAATCCATAACACAAAATTGTCTTGTATTGAAAATGCCTTGTCCACTTTATATTTTATTTCTTGGGTAAGATTTGACCCCTTTCATGGATTGATCAACATTTCAAAGGGCGTCTCTGACCCCTGTACCTTCTCCCCTTGTCCTTTGTCTCACGGATTCAATTCTCATTCATTTGATGTGAATCCCAACGTCTAATCAAGATTTCGTCCACCTTACACATCAAGCACTGGCATTAATAAATGTATTTGTTTAATTCTGAGGGTATCTTGTCAGAATTTCCTCCTTTTCTAACGCTCTTCTCTCTCCCGTCTCTGTACTCCAGGGCATAACCTTCAGTAGCAGAACAAATCAGGCCAGCCAGCAAGCTGCCAAGTCCTGCAGGCTCCTTGTCAAGGAAACCAGCTGGACCCATTTCTAATCAACATCTCCCAACATAACACCTCTGTGTCACTGAAGGAGACCGGACCAGAATTTGAAACTTTCCACAGACTTCCACTAGACATTGAATGCAAAAGGATACTTGGGTTGCTTTGCATAAATCTGCTCTATTTCAGAGACCAAGGGGGAGAATACAGGTGTCACTTTCATCCAAGAAGTCACACGAACATATTCTACATTTAAAGCTCTGCACGTATAATGGATGATGGTTATCGAACCAGCCCAAACCTCTACCACGGTGCAAGAGATATAGCTCGAGAGGCTACCAGGCAGTCCCGGAACCAAGGAATGGATGACTACAAATATCAGGATAACTATGAGGGCTATGCTCCCAATGATGGCTATTACCGTGGCAGCGAGTCCAACCCAGAAGAGGACGCACAGAGTGATGTTACAGAGGGCCATGATGAAGAGGATGAAATCTACGAGGGCGAGTACCAGGGCATCCCTCACCCGGATGACATCAAGGCCAAGCAGGCCAAGATGGCACCCTCCAGGGCAGATGGCCTTCGAGGCCAGGCAGACCTAATGGCTGAGAGGATGGAAGATGAGGAGCAATTGGCCCACCAGTATGAGACCATTATTGATGAGTGCGGCCATGGACGCTTCCAGTGGACCCTCTTTTTCGTCTTGGGTTTGGCTTTGATGGCCGATGGGGTGGAGGTGTTCGTGGTGAGTTTTGTCTTGCCCAGTGCAGAGAAGGATATGTGTCTGTCCAGTTCCAAGAAAGGAATGCTTGGTAAGTAGAAATTTCCAAAGATCCTTCTCTTGGTGGCATTAAAATTTGAAGGGGAAAGAGTAGTAAAATTGGTATAACACCTTAAATCTATCACAATGTCCTTGCAAAGTTATCATTTTACACCCATTTTGCCATTAAGGTGTTTTTATGTCAGAGAAATTAATTAACTGGCTCAAGTTTACACAGCTAGTAAGTATTGGAGCTTGGATTCCTACCCAGGTGTGTCTTACTCTCAAGCTCTTAGTTCTTTTTCCAAATCTTGTTGTGTCCTTGAGAGTCCAATTTCTCTCTTCTTCATATTGAGCAATCTTCCATATTCAAATGACAAACGTTTTGGGAGTGGCAAGCCAGAGGTCTCTTCTACTCAGTCCTTCTCTTTGTTCCTTCCAGAATCCAGTGGTGTCTGCTCCTGGTTTCTCTTGCATATGAGTGTTAGTGGGCTGAATGCCCATGTGCCTCGGGGTTGAATGCTGGGTTGAGCACATTCATGGAAGCCCTGCAGGCAGTTGGGAGCCACGTTGTGAAGCACAGATGGATTCCTCAGGATGGAGGACCAGCTTTGCAAATCAATGATGAGACTGGCGACATCAGAGCCAAGAACCAGATATCAGGGCATGAGGCAGAAAGGATTTTGTGAAATTAGAAAGGGGATGGGCACAAATGGTATAGTGTAAAATACAGTCACCATACTATAGACAAGGGTTTGTCTTGGTCATTAAATGTCCTGTAAAACATATCCATTCTCTAGATTTAGAGTCCAAGCAATTGATTGTTTAGCAAACATACAGTTTCTAAGAACTTACTATGAGTCAGGATCTTAAGAACCCTCAAGAACTCAAAATCTATCTGGCAACTGAGTTCATTCATTCAACTAATATTTATTAATTGTGTACTGTGTGCTAGTCTCTGTGCTCAGCCCTTGGGGAGAAAATATTGAACCAGATAGACATAGTCCTTGCCGCTCAAAGAACTTACATGCAGCAGGACAACAGGCATTAACAAACACAGAGACTGACCTAATTACTGTAGAGATAAGTGCTATGAAGTACCTTGTGTGGTTCTGGTCCCTATTACTTGCTTTAAAGCAGGGGTTGGCAAACATTTTCTGTAAAGATCCAGATAATAAATGTTTTAGAATTTGCAGACCCAGATAATTTCTGTCACCACTACTCAACTCTGCCTCTGTAGCACAAAAGCACCCACTGACAGCATGTAAAAAAATGGGCATAACTGTGTTCCGATAAAACTTTATTCACAAAAAAAAAACAGAGGGCCAGATTTAGCCAATATGCTGTAGTTTGCTGGCCCCTGATTTAGAGCCACTGTAAATAAGCTTGGGATATAAAATAAAGAAAACGTCTGCATAAAAACTTGTTCCTGGGGGCTTTTAAAAATTGTTTTATCCATTCCTATTTAACCAAATGGCCATTTAAAATGATTAAACTGTGTCAGATATGACCATTAGGGAACCAAAAGAGACTGAGTATATATAAACAGAAGGAACGACTTGAGAAGCAAGGTTATCACCCAGAGTTTTTAAACACCAACAGAATTTTAGTTGGTTTTTTAAAAAATTATTTTAATTATTTTTTTAATTAAAAAATTCTGCTAGATGCCTTTAAGCTTGAATAGATTTTTTTGAAAGGGCAAAACCCAAAGCAAAATAAAACATACCCCAAATCAAAACAAACTGCCCCCAGTTGATCTAAACATTTCCAAGGCAGTATTGTTTTGTGATATCTCAGCTGAAACCCTGGGTCCCTGTTAATCCAAATAGGCAATGTCAGTAATGATTTCATACCCCCCACCCCCCAAACCCCGCCATCTCTCTTCCGCCCTGGTGCCTGGCGGCCTCATGGACAGAGCTGCAGCATTGTGGCAGCTCCTGCTGGCTCCCAGCGTGAATGCTGGGTGTGGAGGGAACGTGGTCCTAGTCTGGAGAGCCCACATTTGTGCAATTTTGCTTGGAGCCTTTGCCAAGAAGATGCTATGGCTCAGCCCAAGACGGGCAGTGAGACTAACTGAGCAGAGATGGACTTCCTATATGCTTGTGGGATCCCCTTTGTGGTCGAGGAAAGGAATGTCTAGCTAGATCCGGGGAGGTGGATGATTGAAGGGTCTCCTGGGGCCAGCATTTCCACTTGCTGTCTCATCTGACCTTCATAGTCACCAGAGAGGTTAGAAGAGTTTTATCCCATTTGTGCATATCAGGAAACAGTCTCAGAGAGCTGTATATAAGGTCACACAGTACTTCCTGGAGCTGGGATTTCAATCCAGGTCTGTCTGATGTCAAAGTCTGTGCTCATTGTGCTCTTACACCATACTGCCTTTCTCTTGTGCATGGTCTTTGGAAAAGAAGTCATGCCATGGGACAAGTCTTCTCTCCATGTCATTAAGCGCCCCATAGATTGCTTAGAGCACCATAGATTGCTTCCAACAGAGAGGTAGTGTGGTGTGGGGAATAATGATCTGGGCACTGGAGTCTGGCTGCTAAGGTTTGGAAACTGGCAATGTAATTTATCAGCTAGTGACCTTGGCCAAATCATGACTTCTCTAATTCTCAGTTTTCCTGTATGTGGAATTAGGGTTATAATACATTTGTTGTGAGGACTGGATGAGATAAAGCTGGTAAAGCAACCTGCATGCCATGCCTGCTAAACACGTGTTAGTTCTTGTTCCTTTGTGTTATGACATTCTCCCTTGGAGCATTTGCAGGGAATTATAGTTGCAGTGAGCTAACGGAGCAGCATGGATGCGAGAGCCAGGTTGCCTGGCCTGGAATCCTCGCTCTGCCAGTTCTTAGTAGGGTGAGTTTAGGAAAGTTACTTAGCTTCTCTTGCTCAGCCTTGGTTTCCTTCTCTGCAAAATGGGGATGCTAATGGTATCTACTTCATGGGGTTTTGGTAAGGATTAAATGAGTTTAAAGCATTTAACTTGCCTACAACAGTGCCTATACATCACAAGTGCTCAAGATACCTGTTATTATTATTGCTGAAGTTGTTATTATTACTAAACTGATTGCTTGATAATGATGAACCGCCCAAATTCAGGACTAGATTTTCTCAGGTGACACTGCACATTTCTTTCATTCAAAATTATTTATTGGAGGCTTTTAAGGTCAATTTACCCTACCTTGGCTGGTGAAAAGTTCTTTTCTATTCATGTGTTAAACCAGGTCTTTCTCTCTTTCCTCTTCCTCTGTGTGTGTGTGTGTTTTTTTTTTTAAGAATTAATTTTTTAGAGCAGTTCTGGGTTCACAGCCAAATTGAGAGGAAGGTACAGAGAGTTCCCACATGTCCCTGCCCCCATGCACGCATGGCCTCCCCGTTACCAATATTCGCACCAGAGTGGCCTATTCGTTACAATTGATGAACCCGTGCTGACATGTCATTGTCACCCAAAGTCCGTATTTCACTTTTGCTTAGGGTTCGCTCTTGGTATTGTACATTCAGTGGGTTAGGACAAATGTGTAATGACATGTGTCTGTCAGTACAGTATCATACACAGTAGTTTCATTGCCCTTAAAATTCTCCGTGCTCTGTCTGTTCATCCCTCCCCTTTACTCCAACCTCTGAAAATCACTGATTTTTTTATTGTCTTCATAAAGTTTTACCTTTTTCAGAATGTCATGTAATTGGACTCATACAGTATGTGGGCTTTCAGGTTGACTTCTTTCACTTAGTAATGTGCATTTAAGTCTCCTCCATGTCTTTTCATGGTTTGGCAGCTCATGTCTTTTTAGAGCTGAATAATATTCCATTGTCTGGATGGACCACAGTTTATTCATCCATTCACCTGCCGAAGGACACCTTGGTTGCTTCCAAGTTTTGGCAATTACGAATAAAGCTGCTATAAACATCTCTGTGCAGGTTTTTTTGCGGACATAAGTTTTCACCTCCTTTGCATAAATACCAAGGAGCGTAATTGCTGGCTCATATGGTAAGAATAAGTTTGGTTTTGTAAGAAACTGCCAAGCTGTCTTCCAGAATGCTGTACCGTTTTGCGTTCCCACCAGGAATAAATGAAAATTCCTGTTGCTCCGCATTCTCACTAGCGTTGGTGTGGTCGATGTTCTGGATTTTGGCTGTTCTAATAGGTGTGTAGTGGTATCTCATTGTTGTTTTAATTTGCATTGCCCACAGGACATATGATGTGGAGCATCTTTTCATTTACTGATTTGCCATGTGTGTATTTTCTTTGGTGAGGCATCTGTTAAGGTTTTTGGCCTATTTTTTAAACCAGGTTATTTGCTTTCTTATTTTTGAGTTTTAAGAGTTCTTTGTACATTTTGGATAACAGGCCTTTATCCAATGTGACTTTTGCAAATGTTGTCTCCTAGTTTGCAACCTGTCTTCTCATTCTCTTGACTCTCCTTTATTTTAAAGAGAGAGTGAAAGTGACGCCTCTAGACTTGAGTCCTAGCTGATGTTCCAGGAAAAGAATTTGGAAAGAGAACCCCCCTCCCGACCCCAAATTCAGGCCTCAAATCATAGAATATTTTATTTTCTTCCTGGAATTGAATGAATCAGTTCGGAAAATAAAGGAAGTATCCCTAGACCAGGTAACAAAAATATCTGGGTGCTGCTGTGCCACTTTCCTGAGCTTTTAGAAAGATGAAAGTTTGCTGCCTTCAAGGGTTGTGCTTTACTGGGTCACTCGTCCAGAACTGTCTCACTTGGGGAAAAAAGTGTCTGGGGAAATGTTAGCAGCGAAGGCTCAGTCCTGCTTAATATCAAGCAGTTGGTCCCCTGCAAGAGAAGAGGAATGCGTTCCTTTGTTAATTAAACTCTTCATTCATTATTTTTTTAAAAACCGCTGAACATTACCACGTGCCTGGTGTTCCCTCTGGTCTATGGCAATGCAAGGCAGGCAAGTCTTGGCACTCAGTGAGTTTTATTCTAAAGGCAGAAATAGAGCTCACATGAGAAATATGAAATAGAAGCAGCACATGCAATTATGCAATACCACATTCAGTATTATAACTTTTATTCAGATATGAG